AGCTACACCTCTGGTTCCAGGGGCCTAAATTCTCTTCCAGGGTAGCATCATTCCACGCCTGCTCCTGAGAGGCAGGAGTTGCCATCCTAAGCCAGGAGAGGGCAGTATGGGCACAGCAACAGCAGCCACTGGAAGTTCTCGTCCCCCTTGCTGACGGCCAGGCAACAAGCAAGGGGAACAATGCTAATACTGGCAGTTTTTGTGGCCATGCAGAGGTGGCCAGGCAAGAGAATCTCCAAGAACATCAGAAACCCTGTGGGAACTAGGGAATACCAGACCTTGGACAAAGCAGGACTTGACAGAAGAGAGGATAGGAGCCTCTCAACAGGTGCTGCAACGGGGGCAGCATGGTAGTGGTTCACTTACCCGACTCAAGGGAAATCACTGAGCACCCTTGCCTCTAAGTGCAGTGCTGGGGAGAGTGGGTGCTGCAACAGCTTCCCCACACAGCCCTGCTTGGAACGGGCTGTTAGGCCCAGTTTGGTTTAGGGTCTCTAGTCACCACTGGGTACCTGCAGGAGGGAACAGCTCCGCCTAGTCTGATGCCCCCTTCAGTCTCTCATTCACTCCGTGTCTCACACCAGGTGTAGTGCTTTACCTGTGAGTCAGGATGCTCCCTCTTTGTGGCTTGGTCCTCCAGCCAAGTCACTAGTGTTCCTTGCTGGGGGAGTCTCATCAGCCTGCTGCCCAGGTATTGTTCCTGGTAGGCAGTAGGGGAGCCTGGGCCCACCCTCTACTCAATTCCAGCTCAGGGACTCAGCTTAGCGATCAAGACAGCGCTCTCCCAAACCTTGCTGCATTTCCCCGAGCCTTTTCCTGCTCCACCCCATTGGGCTTCTGCTCCACCCCCCTTTGGGTAAACCTTGCCTTCGGGGCCAGGATTTAGACTGCTGCTGTTCCCGTTTCCTCCTTTCCCTTGTTAAGTTCAGAGTGACTGCAGGCTTCCACACTGCATCTCCTCTCCTCTCTACTCTTCCTGGCCTTCTACCAGTCCCTCCTGCTCACCTGAGTGGGCTCCATTCTCACTCAAGGATTACTTACCTCATTCTCCCTCTGGTGCAGCCTGTCAGCTTAGCGTGGGAGTGAACACCCCATCACAGGCAGAAATGAAGACCCCATTTTTTCTCATGTCTGACTGGAGATGGGATCTGAAACTAGGTCTCAGGAGGTTGATAACCAGGGTCCTCTCCACCCCCCCTCCAGAACTGTCTGAACTTCAAATACTCTAAAGTCAATAGAACCAGGAACAAAAACAGCTAAGCAGAGTGTAGGAAGATGGACCTTAATCAAGCATGGATCAGATAAGGCCAGAGCTGATCCAGTCTGGCTTCCTATGCCATTATGTGACATTGCACTGTGGCTAGAGATACAGCTGGGACAAAAAAAGGAGACACAAAGCTCTAGTGTTAAAGGCTTGGCCTACACTTAAAAGTTAAGTTGACGAAGTTGTGTCAGTAAGAGATGAACCACACCCCTCACCAGTTCCAGTGTGCTGCCCTCACCTCTACTGTAGATACAGCTGTGTCGCTGGAATACTGTTAACACAGCTCCTGTCCTTTGGGGAGGTGGCGTTCCTATATAGATGGAAAAAGCCCATTAATCGGTGTAGGTTGCCTTCACACTATGCGACTATGGCAGCACAATCATAATGTCCGTGCACCCTAAAAGGGAGCAGGGCACAAGGATGCAAGCATGAATAATCTGGATTCCAATGGTTTTAAGATCCACTAGGACAGTTCTGATGGAAAATACCACTTTCCCCACCACTGATCACAACCCATTCACAGTTGTAGCTGGTTTTCAAGAAACTTGCCAGGAAAATGTCCACCAAGGCTATGAAGAGTGACAGCAGCTGGCAAGGAGTTTCACATCTCTATGCCTGGGGTTTGGGTAAAGGGGGGAGGGTGCACCATGTTCTAATCCCTGCAGAAGAAATTTTCTTAAAACAAAAGGCAGCCTGAATCCCAGTGAGCAAGGAAGCAGACCACCTCATTACCAAGCACTGTCATCTGGTGAGTACAGAGTACTGGTATGGGCTCTTCCCTAACCTAGAGGCCTGAAGTTCCCCCTCCAAGCCTTCTCTTCAAGACCATCTTTCTTTCCCAATATCCATGAGCCACCTCTAGTCCAGATCACAGGGTAAGAAGCTAGCAACAGACTACAAAAAGGCAGGGTGGGTTATGGGCACCCCTTCTCTCCCCCACATCATGGCTGCAGCCAGGTGAGGCAGTGTATCTTAGATATATGGATGCCGAGACAGTAAGACTAAGATAGCATGCAGCTATATGTCTATAAAGCTTTAATAGCAGCAGAGCGGGTAGGAGTACAGTATATAAATCACCTGCAGCTATAATAGCCTGGAGCTGTTAATTACATTCACTTAGTGAAGAGTGCCCTCTGCCGGCACACCCTGATTCCATGCAGGGAGCAAGAGTAGAAACCCCTCCCTCATATCCTCTGAGGAAACCAATTTCAAGTGAAGGAAATTCCACAGCTGGGATTATGAAATTCTTTAAGCATCAACACTAGATGAAAGGCCAATTTATCAACTGCTCAAGCATTGAATGAGAGTGGAGCATGGGCCGGGGATCAGTAGGGCTGC